ATGGCCTTGATAGCTGTCGTTCAGATAAAGGGGATAGACTTCTTAAAATATGCTCAGAACACGGCCAGTTCGCTTACGACGAACTTCAGACACTCTAAGCGTCACCTCGCCTCCGGGCGTAACCCCTCTTCGGCACAGATGTGGAGTCAGATTGACCAAATAGCTATTAGCTATAGATGGCGAGGATGTGTGAAAGACTGCCGTTCGTATTGGTCTACTTGCTTACACTCCGACCACGCACTGCTTTGTGCCAAGTTGTCTATGCGATTTAGTGGCTGCAAAAAGATACGATGCAACAAGCTTGACGTCGTCAAGCTCTCTGACCCGGTTGAACTAGCCGATTACCAAAACGAGTTGGCCGAAAAGCTAACTACTACCCCACCAAGTAGCGGAGATCAACAATGGACAACCATTCAAAACGAAATGCAATCAGCCGGTTTACACAGTTGTGGTTTAACCGGCCGAGATGTAAATCACTGGGTGTCCCCCCAACCCTCTCAGACTCCTCGACGCGCGTCAGGTAATCCCGGCAGACCGCGAGTACAATGAATAGCGCCTCTACCTGAAGCGTGAACTCACAAAGAGTTTGAGAGACGACCGAGAGGCCTGGTGGACGCTACCTGCACAGAAGATGGAATCAGCGGCTAGGTGTGGAAACACACGGCAACTATTCCAGCTCGTCCGTGCTACAGGCCCCAAAAGACAGTGCGTTAGTGAAACAATCTGTGAAGCAGACCGCATGCTAGTAAACAGTCTTCACCGACGCTTGAAACGCTGGGCGGAGCACTTCACATCGCAGTTCAACCAGCCCCCGCATTGGCTGCCCCAAGCAGTTCTCCTGAGAGTGCACCCTAGTCACTACTCATGGGTCCGCCTACAGAAGCGGAGATCCGAAGGAAACCCCAAGCCCTGAAACGCCACAAGGGAGCTGCTACCTGCTCTCTTTAAATATGGTGGAGATGCTCTCGTAAGCGAACTTGTGAGACTGTTCTCGAATATCTGGGAAACTGAAAGCGTACCCCACATATGGGAAGAATCGATTGTTACACCCATCTACAAGAAGGGCTGTCGCAAAGCCCGTTCCAACCACAGGGGCATAAGTTTGATTTCCAATAGCCCCGAAGCTGCTAGCGTCCGTTTTATTACGCAGGTTATGCCTATTCCGTGAGAGGCAAATCCGCGAGGAGCAGGCCGGGTTTCGTGCAAACCGTGGATGCATAGAGCAAAGCTTCACACTTCGTCAGCTACTGGAACACCGCCACACACACAGACGGCAAACCATTGTCGTACTTTTAGACATCAGAGCGGCTTTTGACTCTATCGATCGTCCTGCACTGTGGAACTGTTTGCAGAGATACGGAGTACCCGAGAAGTTTGTCGCTCTATCAATAGACCTCGGGGAAGGTTAGGGCCTATGGTGAATTTTCACCCTCATTTTCTGTCACCAGTGGGGTACGACAGGGTTGCCCTATCTCTCCGTTCCTCTTCAACTTTGCCATAGATGATGTCCTACAAAACGCGTTACATAGCGTAACGAACGCTGGCGTCCAGCTTATTCCTGAGGACGGAGTCGTAGACTTAGAGTATGCCGATGATATTGTCTTACTGGGTGACAATGCGCCAACGATTCAAGAGTCGTTGAACCATTTGGCGATTGCGGTTACTCGCTTTGGTATGTCCTTTGCACCTTCAAAGTGCAAAGTGTTGTTGCAAGATTGGCAGGAACCCATTCCTGCACTTTCGTTGGATAATGGCACTCTGGAAGTAGTCGAAAGCTTTGTCTACTTTGGGAGTTGCATAGCGGCTGACGGAGGTGTGGGTGAGGAGATCTCTCAAGGCGTGATCAAAACTAGATTAGCGTTTGCTAATCTGCGGTATCTCTGGCGCCGGTGCAACATATCCCTTTCACTGAGAGGGCGTGTGCATTGGGCAACGATACGCACCGTGTTGCTCTATGGCCGCGAGACCTGGCCTCTCCGAGCAGATCACGTCCAGCGACTATCAGGCTTCGACAACCGCTGTCTGCGCAACATCGCCCGCGTATGGTGGGAGCATCGTGTGAATAACGATGAAATCAGACGACGGGTGCTAGGAGCAGATAGTCTTTTTTGAGCAGAATAATTTCACAGCATCGTCTTAGGTGGCTAGGGCACGTCCTACGAATGCCTGAACAACGTTTGCCACACCGTGCACTATTCGTAGACATCGGTCCAGGCTGAAAGAAACAGCGAGGTCTGCAGGCTATGATGTGGCGCAGAGGATTAAAAAGATTGTGCTCGTATCTGGCTTCCGTTGGGGTTTCCCGGCTCCCCGGTTGGGGCCCCAAAACACCGGGTTGGAAAACGACTGAGAGTACATATGAGAATGTTGGCTGAAACAACAATTCGACGCCAACCAAGAAGCACATACACTGGTTGTGGTAATAGCCACCAGCTTGATAAGGCGTCTTTGGTGATTGACTCCGTCTAAAGAGAGTATGATTCGATGGACTGGATATCAGTCGCCATTGGAGTGCATACTCTGAACTCCCTCCTATTGACTCGCGGACTGGAACGGTTTCACGCTGCTGATGACAAACAACAAGGTCGCAAACGCTTTACAATGCTCCCCAGCTCTGCAGTTCACGCTTCACCATCGTGATGAGCAGCCTAAATGAATGGAATTCTTTATACAGAGGACCTACTGTTTGGAAATTGGAAATCTGGTAAGATACGGCATAGTTATGATACATTTATTCCTAACGTAGTTTCCGAAGATAATGTCACTGCAAAAATGCATGTCAATTCAGACTAGAAATTGAAGCAGGGTACCGTTGCTGAGCAATGATAACCTTTTCCGTCTTTGAGGCCTAGTGGTTAATCACTTTATTCGCAATGAATTTTCAAAACACACACTCAAATCGAAAAATTCCCTCTCGTTTTGGTGGAAGGTTTTCGATTGGAGTCAGCAGATAGTCTTCCGTCGTTGCTGTCGGGCCAAAAATGACTATCACTGGGAGCGAAACATGAATAAACATAAATTGGAAATTCTGTACGGACCTGGTATGGGCTGGATGGCATAGTGGTAACAAGCGCCTTCCATACGACGGGTCCGCAGTTCAAATCCCGGACGCGACGGTGAATATGCACTACTGACGAGCTCTAATAAGAGCGAAACCCGAGTCTAGTGCTTGCGAGCGTC